CTGGGCTGCAGCCCGCTTGGCCTGCCGGTACCCGTCAGCTGTCTCAGGAGTCCCACGAGCCAACCAGGCTCGAAAGGACTCCTTCTTCAGCTTGACAGCATCCCTTACTTCCGGTGTCCACCACCGGGTTCGGGGATTGCCACCACGACAGGCACCGGAGACCTTACGGCCACAGCTCCAAACAGCCGCATCGACAATGGAGGTGGAGAATATGGTCCACTCGGACTCAATATCTCCAGCCTCCCCCGGGATCTGGTCAAAGCTCTGCCGGAGGCGGGAGTTTAAGCCGTCTCTGATGGGGGGTTCTGCTAAACATTCCCAACAGACCCTCACAGTATGTTTGGGTCTGCCGAGTCTGTCCAGCTTCCTCCCCCGCCATCGGCTGCAGCTCACCACCAGGTGGTGATCAGTTGACAGCTCCGCCCCTCTCTTCAAAAACCACTTTTTAAATAAGATACGCACAGGATTAAGGCTGCAGGCATCACAACTTCTCAGTTCCTATTTCTAACCTAACTTGTCTATCTGTGGGTGGCCAACAGAGCACTAAGGAGCAAGCCGTGTCTCAGTGCCACCAAGCTGAAACAAAGTTAACAGTTAGTGAACTCTGCCAACAGTTACATGTTCCTACACAGGAGAAGATTTGTCATCCAGTAACACTGAAAACCTCAGTTCTCATTGAAAGAGATGAAAGTACTAGAATAATCTGTGCTGCTATGACAACAGCACTACTATGGCTGCGTGGGCTCTGAGGACTGGTGTAACAAAGTGACCAACAGCCAATCCGTCCCGCTGCTGTACTGGCTCAGGCCAACACTGAACGCATCCTGTGCCACGCGGCTGGCTGCAGCTGTGCTCTGATAGAACCCGGCTGTGACTACAGCCAAGCTGCACATTTCACAGGCTCTCGCATACCTCATGTGAAACACTTACCCAAGTGTTTATAGGTCACTCTGTGACTTTAGAACAACACTGTCCACAAACGCTGCTTCAGCCTTCAGTATCACTGCTCGACTACAGTCAGATGCTGACTCCTACCATTAGAACTAGCTGCCAGGTGTGTTGTCAGTGGCACATTGGTTTTTATGTGCATGTCTTCTACTGTTGGTACTCTTGCTGTGGTGAGGTGGAAATCTGCATTTAGTATGTTACACTACTGCCGTTTATATCTAAAACAGTACAGTTATGATTATTTTGCAAAGCAAAACCGACTACAAAGCACATAGAAACAAGATATGCAGAAAAGATTAAAGCAGTCACCAGGTTTGTTTTTGATCAGCTCTGCAAGCTGACTCCCATGCCCTTGCCCAGGAGAACATAACTGGAAGAGCAGGAACCTTTGAGGGTTGGCTGACATTTAGGAAGCCAACTTTAGACCAAGTACTTCTGACAAAACTAAGTTGTTTAGTATATTTGAAATACTTCATGGTGTTCTCATTCAGTATTAAGAACACAGAATGAATGTGGTTAGGCCTCTATGTGCAAATATTGAGTATTATACAAGCCAGGGAACGTGCACCAAGTCAGGAGTGTGTGCACTGTCCTCCACCAGCTGACACTGCAAACGGAATTCTGACACAAATTAGACTAGTCAGGTGTACTGCAACACCCATTTGATCTGTTACAGGAATTAACACCAGACTCCATTTACTTGTGACATTAAACTTTGCAGTATTTTTTTTGCCCTTGGAGGTCTCTTGCACAGTTTGTCTACATGCGAGAGGTAGGCTCAATAAAACCTTCCATAGCACACAAGGTTTGCAAATGCTGGAAAAACAGTGGATCCCAGCACAACTGAGCCTGGGATTCAGAATGACTGCAAGCGAGTGGGGTAATGCTGCATTCTTTGGCAGGAGTATACCAAGACTTGTATTTGCTCCTGCTGCCTCGTCTAAAAACCAAATGTGTCTATATGAGAAGCTTCTGGAGCTTCTCATGAAGAAGCTCTGAGAAAGATATGCTTCTCCAAACTGATGACCTGTTTGAGTCACTACAGCTGTGAGCATGTCACAGAAGAATGCAGACTCAAGACAAACGGGTAAAAGCAGCTCTTCCTCTGCAGCAGCACCTGAACAGAGAGCCTGGCACCTTCCTATGTGGTTGTCTTTGAAAATTGATCAGCCAAGACAGAGTTTGTCCACATGCAAACAAACAGCATTGTATTCTTAGGCCAGCTGAGACCCACTGTGGTCTTTAAAAGAGCTACTGTAGCTTACAGTCAACAAGTTGATCCCTGATGCCACATCTTCCCTGAATAATTTATCATGCTTGGATTGGGCACCTGTAGCTGAGGTTAGACATATAACTAACAAATGAAACCATACAGTTCAACAACAAACAGTCTCAGAGGAGCAGGCCATGTAATGTGAAAATCCACTACCAAGCAAAGGGGAAAGCTTCAGCGGGTTCCAGACTTCGGCTGAATATCAAAGTCCTTGCTAAAGTCTTAAACCATGAACCCTCAGAGACTTAAGGGACCTCACCTGTAAGACATTGAGTACAAGAGTCAGCAAGGGCAGGAAACTGTATAAATACGAATGGGACAACACTGAGTGCAAAAGTCCGTGAGCATGGACATTGGGATTGGGCCAATGTCACCAAAACATTCATCTCAACCAACGTGACAGCTCAAAGGCAACGATGAGATCAATGAACATCACTGCAGCAACTGGCAGTCTAGTATGTTTCAGGATGAATATCATCCATAACATCAGGGCATTAGAAATTATGTCATGATATGCAGTGGTACACTAAGAGCCCCAGCCTGGTAGTTACTCTCCTTTGTGCCACAAGGAATTAGACAATATAATGCCATAACCAAAAGGGGGAAACTGTAATATGCTGAAGGAATACACATTCAATATGCACACAGCTTGTTACAGATTGGTCCGAGCATTTTATATAGGGAAATAGTGTGAAATATGTGCAATATGGTTTATGAAAAATGTGTAAAGCGTACAAGGGAAAGTGCAATATGTATTTTTAATGAACAGTCTGTTTTTAAATGGTGAAGGTTTGATGAGTAACACAATTTCCATGTATGTTGATTAATAGGTTTTACTTCTCCCCAGTGTAACTGTCCTGCTGTTGATGTTGCCAAAATGCACCAGTGTTGCATGGGGCTCATACCGACTTGTATTTCAGGTTAAATCACCCACATAAAATACTGTAGATAAGACACGAGCACTGTCATAAGACTGTGTACAGCAGGAAGAGCTACTGTGCCACTTTAGGAAGCAAGCCTGCCTACTCCCAGAGCAGGCTCACATTATGTCCTCTGGGGTAAAGACCTCTGGGCCTGTGTTTGTCAAGCATAAAGAACGGATGGTTGGTACAGAGTATGTGTTGTTCACCTTTTCAGAGCACACCAACATGACATCCTGGTGTTGAGTGGAATTTAATATACATCAATGCCCTCCCAAAATATTAAACAGCTAAATAATTATTCACACCTAAACTGCAGCAGTGTCTCTCCAGAGGCTGGATGTACAGAAAGAGTCGAGGGCAGCGCGTCAAACAGCACCTGCACTGATTAAAGCTGACATTAGCCAAACTTTGTCACAAGTCAGTTTTCATTAGGGTTGTAATGTCTTCATCTACATGGCTGATAGCTGGGTAACAACAACGCCGAAAAAACGAAAGGCTAGTTCGGTGTCGGAGTTTAAAGTGTTATAGTGGGAACAGTAACATCACGCAACCTACACCTGCGAAGACGATTCGAATCAAACTCGGGAAACACAATCATAAACTAAGCTACCTGGTCGTTGGATAGTGTGCAAATCAGGCGGGTTACAAGAAAGAAAAAAACAAATCCAGTTACACAATGCAGACACAAACTAAGGCAATGGACACCGTGACTCTCATTACACACCGCTGCCTCGCATCAGTCACCGCTCACCATCAAACAGCACAACAAATATTTGGCTTTGGCGGATGTCTACTGCAGAGCCTTTGGCCAACAATGAGGTGGCGCAGCCAACCCTCGACCTAACTTTAAAGTGTCTCGCGCTGCATGAACGGTCTTCTTCCCCTATTTAACAGCTGTGGAAGAGAAGATAATTAAAATGTCTTACATTGTGGCTGAGGAGCAGGGACAGCGACATTTACTGTAAATGCTTACAAAGTATAACTTGGCCCCCGTATCTTCGTATTTCTTCAGCACCACACAACAGTTTCACGATGTTAAACCACACTGGCGCATCTCTTCCTACACGCTGGGCAGTAGCACCACTCAGTGCTTTGAAAACCGGTAACGACTGCGAAATCTCAAGGAGTGTAAGGCACAGGCAGCTCGCTCGCATAATATGAACACTGTACATACCCAAAATGTCGATGTTTCCCCGGATTTCAAACTTCAGAGCGTAGTGGATATGGCGCAGCTACATAAGCAAGAGTAGAGACTCTGCAGGAAGCCAGCAAACTGGGCGGATAAATGTGCCGCCGTGACGTCAGCGGCGCAGCAAACTCCGCCAGAGATGGGAGGAAAAGTGAGGTCTCACTCCTGCCTATTTAATTAAGTCTAAACTATATACTGCTTTAGGTGAATTTTCACACACCTGCTGGGGAACCACCGCTGTTAAGCAGTTTCTGCGTGCCAGCTTTAAAGACATAAATAAAAGAGGTCCTAGACTAAATCATATTCACTTTAAAACGAGACTATCCCAAGTCTGAAAGAAGAAATAAAGCATTCTGGAAGAGTTTAACGTTATTTCAAAGTAGTTGATTAGCCTCTTGGCCAGGTCACTACACTGAGTTTTTCTACTTCAGCCATATATGGCCTGTTTACTATGACCAGAGGTTTTGTGGCTATAAGGTTAGCTAATGTTAACAAACTTTAGATAGTACTGCTTACTAACAAAAATGACATTACATTTTTATCATGGCTTAACTTTAAAATTATGTTAATTAGTACTTTGGAATTCATTCTCTGCATCTGATCCATTTGAAACGTTCTGCATTGGACAATACCAACTTCCACTCTGCTTTATTAACAGGCTGCTATCATAGCTGGAACCACCTGTTATAGGGCCCTGCAGGGCAGACATTTACTGCTGGGCCCCTACTGACCTCCTTGGCCCTCTTTGAAATGCGTAGGAACCCTGTTGCTTCCAAGATCCCGCTGCACACACAAAATATTGCAGCTCAGCTGTATAGAGACAAAACTCCTAAGATGAAATGGAACTGGCTCTAGATTAAAACAGCAAGGTCTTAAACTTGTACTTTCAGAGGCTATAGGCTGACCTTTAAGTTGTTCACATTTTGAATTTGGATACATTTTGGATGAATGCTGAAAAGTGTAACATCTGAAATCTGAATTCAAAGTTTAAAGCTCTGTCTTTTGTTTTCACTTTAGGATATATACAGTAGATGAGGTTACAGTTACTTTGTCTTTTACTTTACGGTTAAGGTTACTCTATGTCTAAACTGAAGCGGGTGGACAAAGCTTATACATAACCTAAATCTACTGAATCATGAAATTATTCCCTCCCTTGTTTGCAGTAGTAAACACCTTTCTGAAATGGTTCTCAATGTAGGGTGTGAGCAGTCTTGACAGAAGTGCAAGAGCTTTGGTTTTCCCTGTGGAAGTTTTGTTAAAGATACAGTATTTAGCACGATTAGTAAAGGCTTTCAAAACTATCTGTGTAAAATATATGTTTAATTTAATAAAAACAAAAGGACTTCCAGGTTTACTCTCTCCATGGAAAACACTGAAGATGCATCCAAAATCTGTCTTAAATCTTATCTTTCTTTCAAACAGTTGTACTATACATACAGTATATAGTATATACTGTAAATAAAAAAAAAAAAAATTTCCCACTTGCCCCCCCACTCTGGAGGGGGATTCTTCCTTCCTTCAAATTGCATTCTTCGGGACAGAGATCTCAGATGTTGTTCCTGGGATCTGTTGGAGCCACTCTCCCAGTTTGGGGGTCACAGCCCCCAATGTTCCTATTACCACAGGGACCACTTGTGCCTTCACCTTTCACATCTTTTCTTCTTTCAGCCCTTGGTATTTCTCAAGTTTCTCGTGTTCCTTCTTCCTGATGTTTCTATCACTTGGGATTGCTACATCTATCACTACGGCCTTCTTCTTCTGTTTGTCCATCACTACTATGTCGAGTTGGTTGGCCATTACCAGTTTGTCAGTTTGTATCTGGAAGTCCCACAGGATCTTAGCTTGGTCATTCTCAACCACCTTTGGAGGTGTATCCCATTTTGACTTTGGGACTTCCAGCCTGTACTCAGCAGATGTTTCTGTACACTATGCCAGCCACTTGGTTATGGCGTTCCATGTATGCCCTGCCTGCTAGCATCTTGCACCCCACTGTTATGTGCTGGATTGTCTCAGGGGCATCTTTGCACAGCCTGCACCTGGGGTCCTGTCTGGTATGGTAGACCCCGGCCTCTATTGATCTTGTACTTAGTGCTTGTTCTTGTGTTGCCAGGATTAGTGCCTCTGTGCTGTCTTTCAGTCCAGCTTTGTCCAGCCACTGGTAGGATTTTTCAATATCAGCCACTTCTTCTATCTGATGGTGATACATACCGTGCAGAGGTTTGTCCTTCCATGAGGGTTCCTGCTCTTCCTTCCCTAGTTCCTCTGGTTTCTGCTGCCTGAGGTGTTCACTAAGCATGTCATTACATCTTCCTGATGTATTCATGGATCTTTGTTGTTTCATCCTGGATAGTGGCTCTGACGCTCACTAATCCTCAGCCTCCTTCCTTCTGCTTAGTGTACAGTCTCAGGATGCTGGACTTGGGGTGAAACCCTCCGTGCATTGTAAGGAGCTTCCTTGTCTTGATGTCAGTGGCCTCTGTCTCCTCCTTTGGCCAGGTTATTATGCCAGCAGGGTACCTGATTGACCGGCAGGACATAGGTGTTAATCGCCCGGACTTTGTTCTTTCCATTCAGCTGGCTTCTCAGGATTTGCCTTACTCTCTGCAGGTACTTGGTGATTGCTGCTTTCCTTGCGGCCTCTTCATGGTTCCCATTTGCCTGCAGGATCCCAAGGTACTTGTAGCTGTCCTCAACATCTGCTATGTTGCCTCCTGGTAGTACTCAGTTCTGACTACCTTCCCTCTCCTTGTTACCATTCGGCCACACTTATCCAGTCCGAATGACATTCTGATGTCCTGGCCGTAGATCCTAGTGGTGTGGATCACTAAGTCGATGTCTCATTCACAGCTTGAGGTCATCCATGTAGAGAAGGTGGCTGATGGTTGCTCCATTCTGTAGTCGGTATCCATAATCACGCTTGGTGATGATCTGGCTGAGGGGGTTCAGGCCTATGCAGAACAGCAGCGGGGACAGAGTATCTCCATGGTAGATACCGCACTTGATGTTGACTTGTGTAATTGGCTTGAAGTTGGCCTCTAGGGTTGTTTTTCACATTCCCATTGAGTTCTTGATGAAGGCTCTTAGAGTCTTGTCGATGTTGTACAGTTCCAAGCATTCCAGGATCCATGTGTGAGGCATTGAGTCATAGGCTTTCTTGTAGTCAATCCAGGCAGTGCACAGGTTGGTATGCCTGGTCTTGAAGTCTCGAGTGACTACTTTATCAACCAGTAGCTGGTGCTTTGCTCCTCTGGTGTTACTACCAATTCCTTTCTGGGCCCTGCTCATGTATTGAGCCATGTGCCTGCTCATCTTAGCTGCTATGATGCCTGACAGGAGCTTCCATGTTGTGCAGAGGCAGGTTATCGGGCGGTAGTTGGATGGTACTACTCCCTTCTGAGGGTCCTTCAGGATCAGGACTGTCCAGCCTTCAGTTAACCACTCAGGGTAGGTTCCATCCATTAGTAGCTGGTTCATTTGTCCCGCCAGGCGCTTATGGAGTGAAGTTAGCTTCTTTAACCAGTAGGCGTGGATCATGTCAGGGCCTGATGCTGTCCAGCTCTTCATACTTGCGACCCTCTCTTGAATGTCTGCCATTGTGATGATTACTGGGTCTTGTGCAGGGAGGTTGCCACTGGGTATTGTTGTTATGTGATGCCTCCTTTTCCCCTATGTTCTTCCAGAACTGTTCAGTCTCCAGCCTTGGTGGGTCTGCTCTCATGTTATTACCCTGCCACTGAGAGTATGCCTTGGATTGCTTAGTGGAGAACATTCTGTTTACTCTCCTGGCTTCAACTTCTCTGGTGTACCTCTTCAGCCGGGTGGCCAGGGCTGTGAGCCTTTGCTTGGCAGTCTCCAAGACCTCGGGTATGGACAGTGAGTTGTACTTCTTAGGTACCCCTTTGTTCATCACACCTTTCTGCAATTCCAATAACTGGCTAACTTCTCTCCTTGCTGCCTTGATCTTGGTCTCCAACCTCCTTCTCCATGGAGATACCTGTTTTTTTTCCTTCTTTTATATCCTTTCTTTTTTTCTTTTATTTCTTTTTTTTTGAATGGACCTTAAATCTGCTAATAAAGGATGATGATGATGATGATGATACTGCTCCTTATGGCCTTTCTTGAACTTATAGCCAAGCATCTCAAGGATCACGGTTGCTGTGGTGTATATGAGCTTGTTGGTCTCGGTGACCAAGCTTGAAGGAAGGAATAAGACTGCCCCAAACTGGAGAAGTTTTTTTATATATATATAAATAATAGGAATAATGAAATAACAGATGGGCGCTAATGAATAAAATAGTGCCAGCCATGACAGACAATTCAGAACAATTATATCATTTAGTTAATCATTACAGGGACTCAAAAGCAACTGTGTGAAAGTGAATCTTTAGTAGGGATTTAGAAGTGGCCCATGGCAAACTCTGGCACTGAGGGGTGAACTGTCTAACATTCTGCAAGTGGCAATGGAAAAGGCTCTGCCAACTCTTGGACTGGATTGTGAGCGTGGAACAGAGAGGAGTAGCTGCTCAGAGGATCTGTGGTGTCTGGATGTAGAGTGCAGAATGACCAGAGATGTAAGATGGAGCTGAACCATGCAACAAATAAAAGAATCTTAAAATCAACTTTATCATAGTTAAGTATGACTGACTGATTCCCAGATAGAGACAGATGCATTAGTCAAGATGTGAGATACATCTCCACAAGTTTGATTGTGGCTACTGACCTAATGTGGATGCTCTAAGCTGAAATACTGTATCAGTGATGAGGAATCGGTTCATACTGGGAGAGTGAAAGTTAGCCTGGTCCATCCAGCTGTTGAAATACTTGGAAAATATCAGAGTTTTAATGCATAATGAGACAGTCACAATTAGTTTAGTGTCCAAATTGTGAGCTTACAATTGTTTCAGACAGTTATGTGTATATATATATATATGTGTGTGTGTGTGTGTGTGTGTGTGTGTATATAAAAAAATCCCCACTCGCCCCCCACTTTGGAGTGGTCTTGTATTCCTTCCTTCAAGCTCGAGTCCTCTACCAGAGGCCTGGGACCTTGAGGGTCCTGCACAGTATCTTAACTGATCCTAGGACTGCACTCTTCTGGACAGAGATCTCAGCTGTTGTTCCTGGGATCTGTTGGAGCCACTCTCCCAGTTTGGGGGTCACAGCCCCCCCGTGTTCCTATTACCACGGGGACCACTTGTGCCTTCACCTTCCACATCTTTTCTAGCTCTTCTTTCAGCCCTTGGTATTTCTCAAGCTTCTCGTGTTCCTTCTTCCTGATGTTGCTATCACTTGGGATTGCTACATCTATCACTACGGCCTTCTTCTTCTGTTTGTCCATCACTACTATGTCCGGTTGGCTGGCCATCTATCACTACGGGGTCTCTCTCTTTCTCTCTCTGTGTCTCTGTCTGTGTGTGTGTGTGTGTGTGAGTGAGAGAGAGAGAGAGAGACAGAGAGAGAGATTGGTATCTGCATGGAGTTTGATCATGTGAGTATCTTCCATCATTTTCTTCACATCTTTATTTCACAGGTTTCACTTACACAAAGAGAAACCAGATGTTTGCCTTTTTGTGCTCAGTGTTGTGTTTTGCCATAGTTCTTATCATGCTCTCACTGAACAGATCACTATAGAGATTTTATTGCTTTTCAGTCAAAACTAAAAAGAAGTCTTTTATTTCTTTCATGATATATGATACACATTGGCAGTATGGCATTAATAATAGTGCACATCCTGTCCTGGAGCAACAATATGAACTTTAAGAAATTGTTTTTCAGCAGGTGGACTGTTCTTTGGTCAATGATCAGCAAGTATGCAAGTATAGCTTCCTCGTGTATCTTCCATCTGCACTGTTAGTCTCCACAAACAGATCCACGTCTGTAAGAGAAACAAAAAAGGGAATTCAGAAAAACATAAAATTTAATTTTCTTTCATCTAAATAACCTCTATTACTATGCTCCTCATTTTAACAGTATACACAGCAGATGTTCATCATTTTGTAAATGTCCAAACCTCACTGCACCTTACTGTACAGTTATTATCCACCACACTTGCAGTAATGTACACTGTACATTAATACACACACACAGGTTCTACTAGTAAGTTTTCATTACACAGCAGTAGGTCAGAATATGTGCGAACATACACTGTATATTGCAAGTGTGTGTGTGAAATGATGCCATAATTCACCAGCAGAGGGAGCTCATTGTTCATGATTGGCAGTATTTGCTGCTGTGAATTTGATCTGGAGGAAGAGATAGTTATGCCTTAAGGCTGTTTGGCAAAAACATTGGCCATAAAATTTTAACTGAATGTGGTTAAATTCAGACTTCACTCATTTTTATGTAGATCTGTGTTTGTAAAAGTCCACCTCTCCCTCTGTGAATGCAGTTTGACCAGTTTCTCTGTAAACATGACAGTGTATAGAGTTGACTCAACCTTCACTGTTGTCTCCTTGGAAACACAGCAGATTTGAAATGTCCGTCTATCCATCTATCTAAACATGTACTACTGTGTTTTCGCTCACCCATGAGGTTGGCACTGGAGGTCGTCAGCACAGGGGCAATGGTCACGGGGCCCCTCCTGGTCCCAGGCCAGCATATCCATCAGCAGGTTGGGGTGGCTCAGACATGACTCCCCCTTCCCTGGTTTGGGGTTACACACTGGAAATAACAGCTCTGGAGGAAGCATCAGGAAGTAAAAGAACTGAAGTCCAAAACAGTCTTTATTTTTATTTTCACCAGTGATGGCCAGTGTAGCACTTCTCATTTAACTGCCCAGTTCTGGTTGTTACACACAAACAAACAGTATGCTCATATAGCTTTAGTTTCCTGAAATTAAAACTAATCTCAGACAAGAGCATTTATTTGTGGATTTGTTGTTTAGGCTTGGGCTTTTAGTTCCTGGAGTTTGAGCCTTCTGTAGTGTTTACAACTGGCTACAAGCTAAAATATCTACAGATTACACACATTAGGAAGTAGAAAATTTTGAATTAATTTTTACCAAACACCACATATTATTATTTTAATCTAGATTTTACTGTTGCACACCCTATGGAAACTGTTGCTAGCAAAGTCTGTGGAAAGAGAAATACTGCATTATAAATTGATCAATGTAGCTTTTTTCCATACGCAGCACATTTGGTCAGCTATATGTAGCCTGCAGTACACCATTATTAGCAAGAGCAACAAAATGTAATATACCGTTTTAAAACAACTACAAAAGGTAAACACTAGAAGCAGTGAAATAAACATTATCACAGTTGGAAAACATAATAAAACTGGGAAAATGACAGCAAATGTGAAGGGTTTGAAAAGACAATGAAGGCTGATTTGACATCAGCACCATGGAAGAGAGACATGCCTTCTAAAAATATACAGATGTATTAGAGCTACACATGTGGAATGTGGCTTAAACTGATGCATCTTAAGTGAGTCTGTCAGTCACTGTTGATGTTGCTGCTGAAGCTCACCTCTCTGGAAGGCACAGCAGAGGTCTGACCGGCAGTCGCTCTGACCCTGGCAGATAGTCCCCTCTGTTCCTTTGGTGGCATTGACTGTACACTGGCCCCATACACACATCTGATCTGAGCAACACTCCTCATCCTTAGTGCAGGGCTGAGTGGGGACACACATTCAGAAATGCAAAAAGGGGCACACACTGTCTGTAGCCTCACCCATGTATTTATGTATAACATCATCCATATTTTGACAGGTCCCCTTTTCAGTATTTCCCATAAAAGGCACCATGTGTAACATTTTAATACTGAGATATTTACTTTACTAATGCTGATTTACTGTACAGGATTAACACACACTGTTATTTATATCCCCTCCTTGAACCGCCACCTTATTGTGGTGGAGGGGTTTGAGTACCCGAGTGATCCTAGGAGCTATGTTGTCGGGGGCTATATGTCCCTGGTAGGGTCTCCCAAGGCAAACAGGTCCTAGGTGACAGGTCAGACTAAGAGCGGTTCAAAAGCCCCTTATGATCAGACAAAGATCAAGTCCCGTGACGTCGCCCGGCATGGTGCAGCCGGGGCCCCACCCTGGAGCCAGGCCCGGGG